GTTTCCAGTTGTTTCCTGCTCTGTGGGGTTATCTCTCGACTGGGAAATCCAGTCTATGGTGTTGTGGGCCCACAGTTCAGTCTGGGACAGTGACCAGATCGCGCTGGCGTGTAGCCCAGGGCTGATGACCAAGAGCCTGGTGGAACCGGGATCTCTTCTGCGGTTTAGCCGGGTGAGTTAAAGCTGATTGAATCCCCCACCGTGGGGTATCCTCTCACCTGTGAAACACAATCACTTGTGTTTTATGGCCGCGAGTTCTGATTGCTGGTCACTGTGTCAATCCTGCTGTGCTGCTCCTCAGAATGAGAGTCCTCCCGGTGCCACCATCTTGCCCCGCCTCCCCTAATTTCTGTTCTAGTTTCTTACCAAAAGTCCTGTCCCACTCCTGGTGATCCCCTCTTCCTCCTGTTAGCCTCTTCTGTTTTCATGTTCTATGTATTACTTTGTCACCTCTTTTTTCATCTCCCCTTCCCAATCCTCATTATTTAAACATTTTTATTATGTTAGTTGTGCATATATATTTATACATATATGAGTGTGTGTGTGTGTGCGCATGTGTGCTCATGTATGTGAACATGCGTTTGTGTGCCTCAGGGGAACAGAGACAGGAGTTTCCTCCCCTGGAGAGCTACAGCCTCCAGTAATTGTGAACCATCTCAGTGGAGTGGTAGGAACCAAACAAGCAAATGCTCTTAACTGCTTAGCTGTTTCTCCAGCACTCCCCAATCCTCTTTTTTTAAAATAACATTTATTTATTTGTTTGTTTGTTTGTTTGTTCAGTTTACATCCTGTTTGCAGCCCCCTCCCCACTTCCCAGTCCTCCCCTGTACACTCCTTCCTTCCCCATTCTTGTCCTGTCTCCTTTTCCTCAGAGGAGGGGGAGGTCCCCCATGGTTTTCAAGCTGCCCTGGCACATTAAATCCCTGCAGAACTAGGCTCATCCTCTCCCACTGAGGCCAGACAAGGCATCCCAGTTAGGGGAACAGGATCCAATGAGAATCATCAGAGAGGGTGCCCGTTCCGGTTGTTGGGAGATCCACACGAAGACCAAGCTACACATCTGCTACACCTGTTCAGGGGGCCTACCTAGGACCAGTCCATGAATGCTCTTCGGTTGGCGGTTCAGTCTCTGTGAGCCCCCATGGGCCCAGGTTAGTTGACTCTGAAGATCCTTAACCCCTCAGCTACCTCAGTTATTCACCTAACCTTTCCATAGGACTTCTCTAGCTCAGTATAATGTTTGACTGTATATCTGTGAATCTGTTCTCATCAGCTTCTGGGTGAAGCCTCTTAGGGGAGCTATGTTAGGCTCCTGCCAATAAGCAGAGCAGAGTAACATTAATAGTGTCAGGGATTGCTTCTCTCCCATGGGATGGGTCTCATATAGCACCAGCCTTTGGTTGACCATTCCCTTGATTTTGCTCCATATTTGTCCCTGCACATCTTGTCTGCAGGACAAATTTGGGGTCAAAGGTTTTTGTTGGTGGGTTGGTGTCCTTATCCCTCAACTGAAAGTCCTGCCTAGCTACAGGAGGTAGCCTCTTCAGGCTCCATATGCCTGCTACTAGGAGTCTCTGCAAGAGTGACCCCCATACACTCTACTTCCTTGGCTCTATCTTAGCTATCTGGCAAGTCCCAGAGATGCACCTCCAATTTCCTTTCTTTCCCTGACCCTCTCTTCCTGATCTTCCTATTTCTAATCTCCACCCTCTGCTCATCTTCATATCCCTTCTCCTACCTAGTTTCCTCTCTCCATCCACCTCCACCACCTATTTTATTTCCCATTCTGAGTTAAATTCAAGCGTCCTCCCTTGAGTCCTATTTGTAACTTAGATTCTTTGGGTCTATGGATTGTAGCATGATTATCCTATACTTTACAGCTAATATCCACTTATAAGTGAGCACATACCACCCACGTCTTTTTGTGTTTGGGTTACATCAAACGGGATGATGTTTCCCAGTTCTATGCATTTGCCTCCAAATTTCAATAGGTTTTATTTTTTTGTAAATATATGTGTAGCATTCCATTGTGTAAATATATTACATTTTATTTATCCATCCTTCAGTGGGAAGACATTTTGGCTGTTTCTGGCTATTACAAACAAAGCTGCTATGAACATAGATGAGCAAGTATCCTTGTATTGTGGAGCACCTTTTGGGTGTATGCTCAGGAGTGCTATAGTTGGGTCTTGAAGTTGAATTATTCCCAATTTTCTGAGAAAATGCCAGATTGAATTCCACAGTGGTTATACAAGTTTGTACTCCCACCAGCAATGGAAGAGTGTTTTCATTTCTGTCCAGCATGTGCTGTCACTTAAGTTTTTTATCATAGTCATCCTGTTGGGTGTAAGATGGGATCTCAGGGTTGTTTCATTTTCATTTCCCTGATGACTAAGGATATTGAACATTTTTTAAATGTACTTCTTGGACGTTCGAGATTCCTCTGTTGAGAATTCTCAGTTTAGCTCTGTACTCCATTTTTAGTTGAGTTATTTGGTGTGTTGGTGTCTTAACTTTTTGAGTTCTTTATATATATTTTGTAGATGTAGGATTTGTGAAGAACTTTTCCCATTCTGAAGGCTACCATTTTGTCCTATTGACAGTATCATTTGCCTTACAGAAGTTTTCAGTCTCATGAGGTCCCATTTATTAATTGCTGATCTTAGAGCCTGGGCTGTGTTTGGTGCCCTGTTGGAAGTTATCTCTTGCACCAATGAGTTCAAGGCTCTTCCCCATTTTCTCTTCTAATATATCTAATGTATCTGGTTTTATGTTGAGGTCTTTCATCCACTTGGACTTGAGTTTTGTACAGAGTGATAAATATGGATCTGTTTGCATTCTTTTACATGCAGACACCCAGTTAGACCAGCATACTTTATTGAAGATTTTTTTTTGGACCATTGTATGGTTTTGGCTCCTTTGCCAAAAGTCAGATGTCCATAGGTGTGTGGGTTTATTTCTATGTCTTTGATTCGATAACATTGATCAACCTGTCTGTTTCTATGCCAATACCATGAGGTTTTTATTACTGTTGCTTTATAGTACAGCTTGAGATCAGGAATGGTGATGCCTCCAGAAGTTCTTTTATTTTACAGGATTGTTTTACCTATTATGTTTTTTTTTAATTTTCCCATATGAAATTGAGAATTTTTTTCAAGTTCTGTAAGAAATTATGTTAATACTTTGATGGGAATTGCATTCAATCTGTAAATTGCTTTTGGTAAGATGGCCATTTTTCCTATGTTAATCCTACCTATTCATAAACATGGGTGATTTTTCCACCTTTGGATATTTTCTTCAGATGCTGGAAGTTCTTGCCATACAGATCTTTCACTTGCTTAGTCTGAATTACACCAAGGTACTTTATATTATTTGTGGCTATTGTAAAGGATATTGTGTCCATAATGTCTTTCTCAACCCATTTATCATTTGTATACAGAAGGGCAACTGATCTCCTTTAGTTGTCTTATTGCTCTAGCTAGGACTCCAAGTACTATGTTGAATAGATATGGTGAGAATGGGCAGCCTTTTCTTTTCCCTGATTTCGGTAAGATTGTTTTAAGTTTTTCCCCATTTAACTTAATATTGGCTGTAGGCTTGGTGTATATTGCCTTTATAATGTTTAAGTATGCATCTTGTATCCCTGATCTTTCCAAGACTTTGAACAAGGGGTGTTGTATTTAGTCAAATGCTTTTTCAACATCTAATGAGATGTTCATTCTTTTGTTTGTTTTCTTTCTGCTCTTTTTAAAATATGGATTATGTTGTAGTATTCTTGTATGTTGAACCACCCCTGAATCCTTGGGATGAAGCCTACTTAATCTTGGTGGATGATAGTTATGATGTGTTCTTCCATTTGGTTTATGAATACTTTATTAAGTATTTTTGCATTAGTGTTCATAAGGGAAATTGGTCTGAAATTCTCTTTGTTGAATCTTTGTTTGGTTTAGGTTATTAGGGTAATTGTGGCCTCACAGAATGAGGAACAGTAGGAAACAGTTCCTACTGTTTCCATTTGGTGGAATAGTTTGAGGAGTATTGTTATTACCTCTTTGAAAATCTGGTGGAATTCTGCACTGAAACCATCTGACCCGTGTTTTCTTTTTGTTTTGTTATTGTTGTTGTTTGTTTTTGGTTTGGGTTGAGAAGCTTTTAATAACTGCTTCTATTTCCTTAAGGGTTATAGGACTATTTAAATTATTTACCTGATCTTAATTTAATTTTGGTAAGTGGAATCTATCAAAAATATCATTCATTTCATTTAGATTTCTAATTTTGTGGAGTACAGGCTTTTGAAGCAAGATCTAATGATTCTTAGGATTTCCTCAGTGTCTGTTTTAATGTCGCCCTTTTCATTTTTTATTTTGTTAATTTGGATATTATTTCTCTGCCTTTTAGTTTCTGTAAGGGTTTGTTTTTCCTGTTGATTTTCTCAAAACCCACCTTTTGGCTTCATTGTTTCTTTGTATTATTTTCTAATTTAGCCCAGAGTTTGATTATTTTCTGCTATCTACTCCTCTTAGGTATATTTGTTTCTTTTTGTTCTAGAGCCTTCAGGAGTGCTGTTAAATTGCTAGTATGAGATGTCTCCAATTGCTTTCTGAAGGTACTTACTGCTATGAACTTTCTCTTAGCACTGCTTTCATTGTATCCCATCAGTTTGGGCATATTCTGCCCTCATTTTCACTGAATTTTAAGAAGTCTTTAACTTCTCTTTTTATTTCTTCCCAGACTCAGTGGTCATTGAGGAGAGAGTTGTTCAATTTCCATGAGTATGTAGGTTTTCTCTTTTTTTTGTATTTGTTGAAGTCCAGCTTTAATCAATGGTGATCTAATAAAATACAAAGGGTGATTTAAATTTTGTTGTATCTGTTGATGCTTGCTTTGTGACTGACTATATGGTCAACTTTTGAGAATGTTCCATGAGGTGGTTAGAATAAGATATACTCTTTTGTGTTTGGATGAAAAATTCTGTAGATATCTGTTAGGTCCATTTAATTAAAAGTATGGAATGCTTTTAATTAAGTGTGTGTGTCATCTTTGAGCAGGGACCATCCTAATCTTCAGTGTATTGTATTTCAGTATAGGTACAGCCAAAGCGAGCCCCAAATGCCCTTTTTAAATGTTTTCATTATTATTATTATTATTTCTTACAATTTATTCTTTGTAACATGGCTATAGCCTCCTTCCTAATCACAGGAGCTTCACAAAGAGACCAACAGGGACAAGAAAAAAATCTGAGGTGCTGCAGAGACCAAGGACCATGCATGGAGAGGACCTATAACCCCCTGCTCAGATGTAGCCCACGGGCAGCCCATGTAGATTCCCTAGTAAAGGGAACAGGAGCAGTCACTGGCCCCAAATCCTTTTTTAAGACTTCTTTTGTCCTTTCATTCATATCCTTTCCAGTTATATGACATAGTCATCCCCCCACACATAGACATACATAAAACTTTAAAGATCAGCATATAAGAGTACAAGCATGGTATTTGTCATTCTGTTTCTAAGATATTTCACTGAGATACTTTTCAGTTCTGTAATTTCCCCATGAATATTATTTCACTTTTCTTTGCTCCTGAATAAAATGTCACTATGTGTATATATCCTAATACCTCTTATTGTTTTTCTTGTCCATGAATCTGCTGAGACATCTCAGCTGGTCTGACTTTAATTAATCAGTCATTTCATAGCTTATACACTTTTTAGACTTATGCTCTTCATTTTTGACTTTTGTATTTAATTTTCACAGTTGCCAAAAAGTTTGGATCAGATAGACGGATCAGCTCTTGAACTTATTGCCACAAAATTCTTTGGTAATGCACAATTTCACAAGAGAAAATTTCAGGTACAGTGACAAACTGATGAAATGTAATGTTAGTGTGTGGAAGCCACTGAAGAAATAGTTGTGAGTCTCAGAGGAAGGAAAGCAAGCTACATTTACAACAACTGGCTTAAGAGGAACAGAATAAGTACTGGCCCAAAGAAGTACAGCTTCTGAATGGGGGCCTTCTCTGCAGCTCCAAAGACAAGGCTGCTGGGGTTGGGTAGACACTACACTAAGGTGAAACATAGTTGCTCTCTGGCACCAGCAGCAGAAACTAGTAAGCATTGTTAGGTCATGCTTGACTAGACAAGAAGTTTTACCATATACCTCCAAACAGAACTGCAAATGATATATATTTGGAGGAGAAAAACTAAGATGAGAAAGAAGTACAAAGGCTAAGACCTAAAATGGAGAGAAGACAATAGAAAAGAAAGAAAGAAAGACTGAGAGGTATCTGGAAATAAATGAGAATGGAAGTGATCCATTGGACAAATTATCCTGTAGACAACATAGACCTAGACCCTCCAAATGTATGGCTGGTGAATACTTCCAGTTCTGCATGGCCCGTGCCTTTGGAACAGCTTGCTTTTCTGCATGGTTTGGACTCCAAGGTGTAGGTTATCCTGGGCACAATTTAAGAGATTGCCATTTAAAACTCACTGTAGTTGTTTGCCTACTGGCCTCAGAAGAAATGATGGTGAAAATAGTAATGATTTGGAATGGTTGGTATACTTTCTAAGTGCTCCAAACTCTATGCAAATCAGAGCTCAGCAGCAAAGGTAGCAGATATAGAGAGGATCTAGCAATGGGAAAGATAGCCTGCCTGAGAAAATGAGAGCCCTTTGCTTCCTCTCACTGGGGAGGTAGGCAAGGCAAATCTCTTGAGGTTCTAAAGAGATAATCTGAGTTATCTCAGCAGGGAAGACCCTTCCTTGCAGGACTGAATTGCAGAACTGCTTAAAACTAGGAAAAGGGGGATTTTCAAGGAGAATATTTTTAGAATGCCAGGACAGGAAGATTTCTTCAGAGGCAAATGCCAAAATTGGGAAGAAATCCTCTGAGCATGAAAGGTTAGATGGCTGTTCCCATGCTAACTCTTTAGTGTCAAAGCTTTTCACTGTTTCTGTGGGAACTCCCCTCCCCCTTTTCCTGTTGGATATCTGGTTTTCTGAGCTCATTTTTCATGTGCTTTGAATATGAATACCCACATAAAACTTTACTCATTATACAGGGACAGCAAAGAGAACAATGAGGCTCAGAAACTTCCCTCCTCTGAATTAGAGGACTTTCCCTGGGTCCTCTCTGAATGAGGTGTCCAGCATTTTCCTCTCTGATGTCAAGGAAGTTCTGTATCACACAGAAGCTCTATGGATTTCTGGAGAGCAAGAAGACTAGATAGACAAATTTCAAAGCTAGTCCATCCCAAACTCTCCTAGGAAGAAGCATGTCTAAACAAAGGAAAATATTTGATAAATTGTTTTAATTAATATGAGAATTTTAAAAAACGCAGGGAATTTCAAACCCCTCCCATCACCACCATACACCTACAGAGATAGTGTGTTCCATTTCAGAGATGGGGATCCCAATACAACGGGAAAGAGAAAATGCAGTGTGGCTAGCTGGCAGGCATACTGTTCAAAGGAGGTAAGTGCTGAGGTGTTACCACCAAGAGTCTACGGCAACTGTCAATTAAAGTGTTAATACTTATGAGATGCCAGAGGCCTGATGCATTGAGACTGAACATGATTCTGTACCTATCTCTTTCTTTTTTTTTCCTATTTCTTCCTTGCTTCTGGTGTGTGTGTGTGTGTGTGTGTGTGTGTGTGTGTGTGTGTGTGTGTGTTTTAAATGTTCAAAAGGCTATCTCCTCTGGAAATCTGTGGATCATTGCTGATGTGCACCAGCAAGGTCTGATTAGTCAAGGGCAGTTCTGCCAAACAAAAGGTTCAGGAAGAAGATGTGCTAAGACTTAGTGGGTCCCATAGTATATTCATCATTAACTGTTATCCAGTATCAGTGGACAAGGCTTCTTGCAGCTTTCTTGAGTGATGTTGGACTCCCATGGAGAACAAAAGATGTTCAGAGAACTTCAGGACACAATAGCGATACAAAATAGTTCTTAACCCTTGCACATACGTTTAGGGCCTTCTACACATGTTCCATAGCTTCCTCAACAGTATGGAAAGCCCATAGAGACTATGAAAAAGAAGTGTTACCCACGTAAGTGCAAAAGTACCTGTGTGGGTCTGAATTTGTTTATTTTATTTTTGAAGTTGGAAATATTGTGGAGAGTCAGTTGAAAAGCTCTGCTTCAATTCTGACTTCTTTTACCACAAGAGTGACTTTCAGTACCAAATAGTCAATATCTCCACTCCTGATTTTATCCTAAATGTCTGTTTCCAAAGAGCTCTCACTCAAAGTTACATTCATTGTTGTGTCGCACTTCCAGAGACTGGGGGAAGTCTAAAGTGCAGGTGGCTTCTTTGACAAGCATCACAATGCATTTTCTTTTTCCGTGCTTTCAGTGTTATGAACTCCTTCAGTTAAAAGATGCAGAGCGAGCAGAAACAGAGCAGAGACCATAGCCCTTGAAAGTGCAATGCCAATAAAAGCATGGCAAGGTTGGAAAATATTGCCATCATGCTTAAGACTTCTGAAGCGTCACCTGCCTTCTGACAAATGATATCTCTCATGAGGTTCCTTGGCTTATATGGCAGCAGCTAGCAGTGTACTGTGTGTATTCAGGCCTCTAAATGTGGTAGAAGAAACAATCACCCTAAGTTGAACTGACACCACCAGCCAAGCAGCACTCATGGGATCCACACTCCTTCCTGATGCACAGTGCTGCTGTCACCTACTTGTGAACTGGGTGCTCCTGGGAATGTGCAAGGACAAACCCGGTGGTGGTTTTAGTGTACTATCACATTTATGTTATCAATTAAAACATTCACCTCCCAATCATGAAATCAATATGTGGTTGAGCTAAGATTTGAACAGGCCTTGAGATTTCAATCCATTATGACAAAAAGTTATATATCTATTTTTTTTTCTTTTTTGGCCACCACTCTCATTACAGTTAGAAAATAGATCAAAAATATACTTCCTAAAAAAGGTTTATGTCCCAGTGGTAACCCAAAAAATATTTTAAGAAAATAGGTTGCCTTTGAACACAAAAATATTTGTCATGCTGCATTTTTCTTCTGAATCATGTAGTGGATCTTAACATTATCCTCATTAATCCTTTCAAAGTCTTCCATGGGTACCAGGCAAATCTGACACTATGTTGCTAAAACCCCTGCCTGACCATGTGGCTGCACAGCATCGCAGGAATAGAAATAGACCGTTTATCTCCAAAGCTTTGACCTTGAATTTTAGAATCTAAAACTGAACCCAATGTTAGCATTCTGCATACTGGAATAGAAAATGCTTGCTCCCCAAAGGAAAGTATGGGAGGGCCTGCTTTTCAGTTTGGGAGGTGGAGTCAAACCAAGACAGATGAGCCCAAGAGTTGTCTTTTCTGTTACAAGGTCTTTGACGGAAAGAACTTCCCACATAATCCTTGCAACATATGTGCCAGAACTCTTTCGTTAGGTTAAAGTGGATGGCTTGTCCCCATCTTCAAATTTATAGGATAGCTTTATTTACCATGGAGAATGGAGGAAAAATTCTGCAAGAATTACATCTGATGCATTTCAAATTACTCCAAAACTTTGTTACTTAGAACAACAAACATTTATTTCCCAGTTTCTATGAACCAGGAACCCAGGCATGTACTTACTATGTGCCTCTGTCTCAAAGTAGCTCACTAGGTTACAATTAAAGGGGCCAATGTCAAAAGCCTATCTCAGTTTCTTGCCATGTGGGCCACCACAAGAGAACTGATGATATAATAGCTAGCCTCTATAGAGAAGAGGTCTCCCAAGATGGAAACCGTGGGGCTTGTGTAAGCATGAAAGAGGGATCTCACTACCTCTGTAGTCTTCTACTCATGCTAAAGACGTCCCTGAATTGCAGTACTAAGTATGACTTTTCCCTAATTTTTTTTTCCTTTTCCTTTTTTTGTTTTGTTTTTGAGACAGTGCTTCTCTGTGTAACCCTGGCTGACCTGGAACTAACTCTGCATACTAAGATGACCTTAAACTCAGAGATCTGCCTGCCTCTGCCTTTCGAGTGCTGGATGGGCTTGCACTGCCACACTGGACAATTACTTCCCTCTTGTTGAACAGCCATTAATGAGATTATAGATCCTGGAGGTAAACTTATTCCTATTACTTTACTAA